TGAATATTTTTGTAGTACCTCTTTTTGGTGTTGCACTTTGTACATACTGTAGTCCCGGTGCAACCGTCTCACAGCTGTTGTATATACGCTTTTCATCAAAACGGCTCATTTAGATGAAAAAAGTTCATTGTCTGTCTGCCAAACTACAGTAAAGATGCATTGTTTGTGTTTTAACAATGTCTCGATTTATTGATTGATTGGATGATTTATTGGAGAATTGCTCCAACATTTTCAGACATGAGTAGCCTACCAGGCAGCAGACCAAACTGTCTCCATTGTGTTGTCTTTCCTTTTCTTCATCTGATTCAGATTGCATTAAAATTTCCTGCTGTCTCAAATATTTTAATACTAAAATTAAAAACTGATTACTTACCCAACAAACCAATATCCAAAGAATTGAGATAATTAATTGGGTTCAGCCCTACAAGCCACTTATTCCAAAATGGCCATAGAGTTGCATGAACACATCTAAGTTTACAAAAAAAAAAACAAACAAAAAAACATTCTTGCTACGAGGACATGAATCTGTCCACGGAGTCACAATGTGGGGATTTAACTGCTCAAAATGGCTGTTATCATAAGATTATACATATAGTTTAAGATTAAAATTGCGGTGTTAAGTTCCTTGTTTAACTATGAACTATATATAGCTGAGGTTGAGTTAATATTCAGGGAGATGAATATTTTTCTACAAATATGTGCAGCTAGATGTACAAGTGTCAGCAAGGAAGACATTTAAAAAAATGTAATTAAACACTGCAATTTGTCATGTTTTGCGGCGCTTCCTGTCACAAGGTTTTATTTTGGTACACTTCTGCTCTTGTCTTTGTCCTACTTTGTCCTACCTGACCTACTGTACTTGTTCTTGCCCTACAGAATTAGAGTATCCTAAGACTGACAGATACAGCTTTCTGGTCTGTGAGTCACTACATGAACTACTCATGTAGGCAACAGAGAGAAATTTGTGCGATCTGCACTAATCTGTGTGTGTGTTAGTATTAGCTTAGCTTTTTAGAGATGAGGTGGCTGCCAGAACAGTTCAGCCATAGCAGGACATGTCAGGGTTTCTCCGCACTGTGCCTGGCACTAGGTGTTGGGATGAACACTTGACTGGTGTTAATGTAGTTCAGGAACAAAAAAGAAGCTACAACATTAAATTCAGATTAAATTCATTTTTACACAAGAATATGTGTATGTGTGTGGAAATTTATGTACATATCTGTAAAATTCCAGTAGTCGCATAAGGTTTTCTATAAAATAGTGAACTAATTGTACAGTGCCACCAAAGTCTTTGATAAGTGCCCAATGCTGTGGAGTGTCAGCACTCACCAGAAATCATTCATCAGTCACCTGCGAAGATGATACAAACATGCTCCTTTACTTTACTACTACTTCTGTGTATTTTGGGCAAACACAAAGTGTGTTTTTTCCTTTGATACACTGTACAATGTGTGTAAGGCTGTCATGGACTAGGTGTACATTCAATTGCTGTCATACAGTTTATACCAGCTGGTGAACAAAAGTAGGAATCCAGAAATTTACTGCATAATATAAAGTAAAATGTGACAGATCATTACCCTCCCCAACTGATGTAATTATGTGATGTTCCAAGTGGGACTCTGGTATCTGGCAGCCTGAGAGCAGCAAGATGGCAGAGGAGTGAGAAGTGTTAGTAGGAGGGAAGAAAAAGAAAAGAGATGATTTATGAGCAGGCCGTATTTTTCTTTCCTCAGTTACTCATCTGGGTCCTGCCCCTCTTTCCTCTGCTTCTTTCTTTCCTGGTTTTATTACCCACCCTTCTCCCTCTGTCATCTCCATGCTTCCTGTCAGCTCTCATAGTGCATGCGTTGTTTGAGTAACTTAATTAAGGGTACCTGGCCTAAAGTTAAGATTCTTGTTGAATGACACTCTCCAGTGAGTATTAATGATAGCTCCATTATATCACCCATCAGTCAGTACAAAGCAGGCATGAGTAATCAAAGTAGAGAGAAAAGCTATTATCAGAATTTGTGACAAGTGTCACAGAGAAGAAATGCTCCAGAGCTATGAGGCCTTCAACTGAAAGAAGTGAAACAAACTCTTAAGAAATGACTGATTGCACCAATTCAAAATAATTGCAGGCCACTTACAGGTTGTATAAGATTTAGAGATGATGGTCCTTATTCTCGTGGCAATCAAAATATCTTCCAAAATCCTGGTGAAAGGGATCATGAACATACAGTATATAATACTACCTTAGGTTTTTTGAGCAACATTCAAGAAGAGTAGCCAGAGAACACATTCTAAAGTCTAACTGACAATATACAGTATATCATTTGTTCCTATCTTAGAACAGGCTGTTTTCACAGTGACACCAGCCACCGTTCTTACTCTGAGGCTACAGGGTTTTAGCATTTCCAGCAAATTAGTAGCTTTATAAATTACCAAACTTCCTCCTTTGCTCATGTTATAATTACTACAACCATTAGAGGTCGCCTAACTGTAAGACGTTACTGTAGGTTGTAATAACCTGCTGGCAGAAATGACATACTGTATGGACTTGATTCTTAAGAGAAGACATTCTCAATTCTACTCAAGCAAGAGATTGTGTATTCAAACTCAAGTCAGTAAAGGCTACCAAAAGCATTTCCAAAAGCTGGGTAAGTCAGAATTTTTAAACTGATTTTCTCCTCTCTCTCTCTGTGAGTGTACACGTACACCAATGACTAGAACAGATGTAAAGTTAGCTAGATACTGTAGCTGCATTTTACACAAGTTGGATGTGGAAAGTGAAGAAAAAAATACCATCACGACCAATCTTAGCCCCACCTTGTGACTCTCCTGTATTACATACATTCAAGTCACAGAAATAACTCTTCTGGCTAACCTGTGGAACTGATACATGCCGACTGTTGCAGTACAGTGTTACAGTACCAATTCTGCAGTTTAGTGGAAGTGTTATCTCTGTGACTTGAATACATATACTGTAATGCATGACAGGCACAAGCTGGGGCTAGAAAAGCCACAACTATTTGTTTCTTTAAAAAAATGCTCAAATAACACAACAACACCTGCATGTACAATGCTGTACCACCACAGCCACCTGCATTATTCTCTACACGAAGCTATGCACTACTAATGGGACATTGGTGTGGGGGAATGCATTGCACCACAAGAGAATCTGTCACTCCTAATTTTCAATGCAAACATTGGTCAGTGGTCCAGAAAAGCACATTTTTAATGCCATGTTGATCTTTCAATTGGTACATCTGTATCACAGGATAGCATTAGCTTAGCTCAGTAGATATGGAAAACTCTGTACTGAAGCATACCTGACCCATATGACAGAGAGTAGGATTATAAAATTAACAATAAAAAGGTGATGAGCTATGGCTAGATGTACCGTTCAAGTGAGGAAGCAAGTGAAATAACTTTCTCTACAGTCAATTCAAATACAGTAGAGAATGTTACTTTAAGACCGCATATCCCTCTCTACAAGGTAGGGATATCAAATAATGTGTACCATCATTGTGTGTTTTAGGTCCAACTGTAAATGAGTGAAAAATTACTACATGGTGTGCCAGTTCTAGGAAAATGTGTTTTTTTTTTATCTCAGACTTACGGCATATAAAACAATAAATGTTTGTCCAAATCTCTCTAATTGTATAATGTGTGTCTTACAGTGGATATGGAAAGTATTCAGACCCCCTTAAATTTTCCACTCTTTGTTATATTGCAGCCATATGCTAAAATCATTTAAGTTCATTTTTTTCCTCATTAATGTACACACAGCACCCCATATCGACAGAAAAACACAGAATTTGACATTTTTGCAGATTTATTAAAAAAGAAAAACTGAAATATCACATGGTCATAAGTATTCAGACCCTTTGCTCAGTATTTAGTAGAAGCACCCTTTTGAGCTAATACAGCCATGAGTCTTTTTGGGAATGATGCAACAAGTTTTTCACACCTGCATTTGGGGATCCTCTGCCATTCCTCCTTGCAGATCCTCTCCAGTTCTGTCAGGTTGGATGGTCAACGTTGGTGGACAGCCATTTTCAGGTCTCTCCAGAGATGCTCAATTGGGTTTAAATCAGGGCTCTGGCTGGGCCATTCAAGAACAGTCACGGAGTTGTTGTGAAGCCACTCCGTTATTTTAGCTGTGTGCTTAGGGCCATTGTCTTGTTGGAAGGTGAACCTTCAGCCCAGTCTGAGGTCCTGAGCACTCTGGAGAAGGTTTTCGTCCAGGATATCCCTGTACTTGGCCACATTCATCCTTCCCTCGATTGCAACCAGCCGTCCTGTCCCTGCAGCTGAAAAACACCCCAATAGCATGATGCTGCCACCACCATGCTTCACTGTTGGGACCGTATTGGACAGGTGATGAGCAGTGCCTGGTTTTCTCCACACATACCACTTAGAATTAAGGCCAAAAAGTTCTATCTTGGTCTCATCAGACCAGAGAATCGTATTTCTCACCATCTTGGAGTCCTTCAGGTATTTTTTAGCAAACTCCATGC